GATCTCTCTGGAATACCACTTGTTACTTCTCAGCAAGAAATGTGTCGATTAATTTATATTCCGCTTTGCCCACCTAATCATGTTGGGAATTAAGGAACAGAACTTTGCTTCAAATGTGTTAAATAATTCTCCCGTTAACAGGTTGTAGAATAGGGAACTATTTTTATTTAAACTAATGGTTTAAACCTTAACTAACGTTCTCTTTAATTTTTCATTGTGACTGAAAAGACGATTCGGAATTAACGATTCTTTTTAACTTGATTATGCAGATGCTTCCTGTTTTGAGCAGATTAAATTTTTAAAAATGTAAAGTTAGGTGTTTAAAAGCATGAATAAGCATATGTATTTTTATGGAGCTTAAAACTTTACAGCGTTCATAGAGAATTTTGAATAAGATCAATTGAACTAATGAATACAAATTATTTCCCTTAAAGTATATTTTAGCAAAGAAATACATTTCATTTCTGGGTGTTCCCCGAAATTTATAAATAGAGGAGATTCTAATATCAGAACGTTTAAAAATATAACTGTCCTCGGAATTAAAAATTTTTTTTCAAGTATTAACAATTTCAGCACTTAATTTTGAAATGATGCCTTAGATGTTAAACTGAAATCACATTCATTCTTTCTAAATTTTGTTAATTCAAGCCTAATCATTATTACACGATCAAACGACATCTGATGACATTACGTTTTTCGTTATTTTCTAAAGTATACGTGACTATTTGTTACGACTTAGTTATTCTTTGCTTAAGTTCAATGCCATTTAAGTATTTGTAAAGCCGCTGAGAATTCATATTGGCTTGTAGAATTGAATGATACTTGTAAAACGTATGTTAACTGCGTACGAAGATTGGACGAAATTCCACAAGTATAATAATTTATATCAATTATGTGATTCTGAACTGGTCTGGTAGAAATGTAGTGGGACACCCAATTTTTACTATAAATAATGTAGGTACAGTCCAACCGCATTTCGATCTAGAGAAAGCCCAAAAGATCACAGGGCTCACCGAGCTGTCGGGGCGCGAAACATTTGTTTTACCTCACACCAACAGTCCCAAGACCTCCCGTAAACCGCGGGAATCCCAACCAAGACTTATTAAAATTTCAAAAAATATACAAATGTACATAACATTTAAAAGGTGATTCCATCGCACGTACATGCTTTGGATACTTAACCAGTTTTTACTTGTACAATTTGGTCTTGGTGGGAGCAATACATATATATTCGGTATAATACAAATGATAGAATCAAGACAATACAATTCCGACCAGTTATCAATAGATTGTATAGTCCCGATATTTCAAATCAGTTAGTACAGTACTTAAATGAACAGTACAATTCAGTGTTTCATCAGTTCAATATATAATGCAATATATAATTCAGTTTAGTTTAGTATAATAGTTCAATATATATATTCAAAAATAACATTGTCCATATAATTAACAGATCAATAACAAATAGTTCATTGATCCCAATAGTTCCGAATAGTTTATAATTGTAATGGTTCATAAACGTTAAAGTAATTCTTTGGCATACAATTCACCGCCATATAGTTCATACATAATTTGTATATAGTTCACAATAGTACATCCATACGATATTGGTAAATAATTCTTAGTAGTTCATAATAGTTTATCGGCAAAATTATTGGTGCCAATAACAAGAACAGTTCTTATAAATTAGTCTTTATAATAATTACTAATAGTTAATACTAAATAACTCCATAACTAGGTAAACAGTTCCCAATTGTTAGTAATTGGTATAGTTCATGTCTATTCAGCTGGATTATCAAAACCATTAGACTCCAGGAATGGCTCCAGATTCAATGTCTGCATTTGCAGTAGTTCACAATAGTTCATTGTCATAATTATTAGTATCATAATAAACAGATTAATAGACAATGACAGGATCATGTATAATTTTTAAAGTTAGTATATATAATAGTTTATAACAGTATATTGATTATTGGTATCATAACCATTAGATAGGTAATTATTCTGATAGATATAATAATAGTAGACCAACAGCCATAATTATAATAGTTCATAATAGTTTATTGATGTACACTTTATTATATGATTCCGTTTCTTTTATTTGAGATGTTGTCATTTCGCATTATAAGTTTATGTCGAATTCTTTATGTGGATATATTACATTTTGTTTAATGCAAATTTTTTCACTTGATAGCGTAAAGTACAATGCCTAATAAGTTGGCACAATTAGGTTTATATGATAAGTTATAATTTAGCTTTAGTTCATGCAATAGATTTCATCAGTTTATTTTGCAGCATAAATATATTTATATCAGTATCGTAGTAAACTTCCTAATATTTTTCTGGTGTCTTTCTTGTGAAGCACTTGTCCTTAGTGCATATATATATATACATTTAAAACGTATTGTCGACAACATAATTATATTGATTTGGTGAACCAAAGTGAAGAAGTGATTTTAACTTGTTGGTTGTAAGAATAAATTAAATCTAAGATATCATATTCTGTTTTTATAATTATTTTAGTCACTTCCTTTTGATGTATTGGACAGTTTGGTGCGTAAGCAGGGTGATATGTATTAAGGTCTGTATTATTAGTGTCATTATGGAATTTGCTGTTTATACATCATGGACTTCCTGCTTTGGCATTCTCTGAGTGGTTGCCGCCACAGAATGCACAATAAATTCTCTGCTTGCAGTTTCTAACTGAATGGGTTAAGTCTTGACATCTGAAGCATCAACGTAAACCAAAAAATTCTGAGATTTTGTGACTTCTCCAGGCGTGGTTGATAATATTTTGCTTCATTAGTATTTTGAAGGCTAGATGAGATCATTCAATTACCCATTTTATTCCATTGTTTCTTTTGCCATTTATTGTAAAAGAGGGCTTGAATTCATTCTCTTCCAAATTAGTTGCTTGTTTAATTACTTCTGTGATTTCTTTTGGACCCACATTGGTATATAAATTGTTTATTATATATTTAGGGTTTTCGTTTGGATAGTATTTTGAGAGAAACTATATTAATGATTTTTTCATTGTTTTCTAATATGGAGTTTATCTTGAGTATTTCTTCTTTGGTATTTGTTGCGGCAAAGCCAGCGAAATATTAAAAATAACATTACCCCTTTTTGTGAATGGTATCACTTACGTTTTTGTATTTATAAATGTTTTTTGCTTGTTCTATACTTCATGTTTATGTTAGGAAATAAGTAAGTATAAAATACTATCTCCTAATATCTGGTGCCGAAAAAAACCATTTACGAAACAAGACCTTGAATTTATACTTCCTATTGTTGGGTTATTCTTGCTGAATTATTTTACTTCCGACATTAAAACTTAGTTTTGTTTTTGTTCTTTTCTACTACTCGGGCAATGGCGCCGATCGTTGAAGCTGTAGACAAAATGACGCAACTGAAACGAAAGCGGAAAGCCGTGCGAAGTAATGTTTCTCGCTTTTCTACTGAAATTGATACCTTGAACGATGATTTCTCAATTGAGAAAGTTGAATATATTTGTAATCGCTTAACAACTGCTTTAAATGATATGAAACTAATAGATAACGAAATTCACAACTCCCTTTCTGACGATGAATGTGAAAGTGATAATTTGCAGTGTGAAAACTACATAGATACTGGTGAATCCGCGATTTTCAAAGCACGAAAAATTATTCAAAATAAATTATCGCCAACTCCAAATAATGAGACTGCTTCGAATATGGATACCAATGATTTAGCGATGACATTTGGCGACCCTCCTACTATAGTGCTGTGAGAACACAGAATTCTCACAGTGAACCCGGTGGCTGTATCGATTTTTAAATCATTATCGCGCCTTGCCACGTGCATCGCAGTGGATAAAAACTGGAAGGACTGGTTTGTCTTTCTCTTTCTGCCTGTCGTCGTGTTAACGAGTGTGTGGGCCTTCGGGCCACACACACACATCTCTCGCCATCGACTACTGTAATGCAACATGTAATCGAGCTGACATGATTTTGCATAAGATGGAACAGAAAATATGTTCTTGTATGAAGAAGGTTGCATTAACGAATATAAGAACTCCGGTAAACTTTTACTGCATTATGATGCGAGGCTAAAAATTGTTTCCTGTGCTGTGACTCAACATATATAATCCTGATAATTGGATTTTTCGAAGTGACGACCATATGCGCCAAATTCAAGCCTATCTATAAGAAATCTTATCTCTTCCCTAATCGCGAATAATTGCACTGCCTATTAATTAAGCTTCTTGCAAGATGCTGATAAGTAAATGTGCCATCGATGCTGTCAGGATTAGGAATTACAGTATACCGTAAGAAAGGAACGCTGTGAGAGTCACATAGGACTAACGAGTAGGACATGCCGAAAGGCATTCATGAATGAAGTTTTTTTTGTAACGTATATAATCTAGGCTAATCAGAAATGTGTGTTTTGTGATTTAATAATGATTTCGACTCAATGCCTGGTGTTGACGTCGGCTTAGTTACCTATGACTCAACCATATACAGTTAAATTGCCAACAGTTAAACTACAATCATTTACAGGAGAAATTGAACAGTGGCAATGTTTTTGGGAACAGTTTAAATCTTCTATAGATGCCAATCCACATCTTTCTGTTATTGATAAACATGTTTTCCTCAGAGGTTATTTAGATGGTGAAGCTAAACGCCTTGTTGATGGAATTAGTGTAATAGGAGACACCTATGAAACAACAAAAAAAATTGTTGGAGGAAAGATATGGAAATAAAGATCGAATTATCCAATCACACTTAGATTACTTAGAACATTTAAATGTTATTCAAGACCCATCTCCTACGCATCTAAATGATCTTTACATAGAATGTAACAGAAGAATTCAAGCTTTAACTGCTCTGGGTGAAAATATTGAAGCATACGGTAGAATCCTAGTGCCAAAAATTATTCGTGCATTCCCCAATGATATTTGTTGCCGCTGGATTATCTATGCCAAGCGTGAAAAACTAAACGAAGGTAATATTACTAGATTGATGCAGTTCTTGGCAGAAGAAGTGGAAGGTGTAGTTGCAGCACAAAGAGTTAAAGGTACGTCTTTTTCTGATCACACCGTAAAGTGCACTGTAGAAAATTTTAATATCAATTCCAAAACAGTAAACAAACGTAAGAAAATTTCACCATTTTGTTCATTTTGTGATACTACAGGACATTGGCCTCAATATTGTGAAACTGTTACAGACTATGATACTCGTGTTCAGAAACTTAAAACTTCAAATCGCTGCTTTCTGTGTACTAACCGTGGTCATAGAGTTTCAAACTGCCCAAGAAAAAATACTGCACGATGCACTAAATGCAAGAAAAGGCATCATGTTTCTATTTGTCCTCCTGTTGAAAACAATCAACTGCGGATAACTAACAGTGCTGTAAATCACATAACCTTTCCTAAAACAATTTTCACACATTTGCAAACTGCTCGTGTGTATGTTACTGGCCCCACAGGCATTACTAAATTAACACGCTGCATTTTAGATGGTGGTAGCCAAGCAAGTTTTGTTCACACAAACCTCATTGAAAAACTTAAGCTTAAAGTTGTCAGTTCTGCCTCACTTTCAGTTCAAGCATTTGAATCTTTTACTTCACAAGAACAACGTAGATGTGTTCAACTGTCACTTTCAAGTTTGTGGAGCAACCAAGCATTTTTGATCTCCGCATTTGAAAGCTCCAATTCCTATACTACACATCCTACTGCTCCACCAGAAATAGTTCACTTTGCTCAGAAGAAAAGATTGAGAATTGCTGATCCTCCGGATGACTCTTCACTGCCCATAGAAATACTTATTGGTGGTGATCATTATTGGCAAATTGTTTCCACAGAAGCTCCAATCAAGCTTTCAGAATCTTTTGTTATGGTACCGTCAGTGTTTGGATGGGTTCTTAGTGGAACAAGAACACATACTACAATCGCTGAGAAGACTTCTGTCCATCAAGTTTGTGTGCAAGTTAAAACTGATTGTTTAAATGATCAGGTACGTCGCTTCTGGGAATTAGACTCCATAGGGATACAAGATGCGCAGAAACGAAAAATGACTACTCGAGATGAAGAAATTTTATCAGAATTTCACAAAACTTACAACACTGAAGACAATCGAAGAATTGTGTCTCTGCCTAGAAAACCATTGGTCACACCTTTGCCTACAAACAAAATTATAGCGGAAAACAGATTTCATTCTCTTCAAAAAAGACTTGCATCTAGTGATGTGTTAAAGACACAATATGACAAATGCATGCTGAATTACATTGAACAAAAGCATGTTGAAGTTTGTTCCATAGATGAATCCAATGAGAAGCCAGTATATTACCTTCCTCATCATGCTGTAAGAAAGAAAACGCAATCTGAAACCAAGTGGAGAATTGTGTTTGATGCTTCCTCGCATGCTCCAGGAATGATTTCACTGAACGATACCTTGGAAGCTGGCCCGAATCTTCTTCCTGAATCTATTGGTTGTCTACTAAGATTTCGATTGCATGAATTCGCTGTTACATGTGATGGTAAGCAAGCTTTTTTACAGTTGTCACTACATAAAGAAGATAGGGACGTCACAAAATTTTTCTGGTACAAATTAAAATCTGATTCATCTCAACCTACTACTTTTACAGATGAAATAACTGTTTACAGATTTACTCGTTTACCATTTGGCCTTACTTGCAGTCCGTTTTTACTCTGTGCTGCGACACGAGAATTGGCTGCAAAACATATCGCAGAATTTCCAATTGCTGCACCAATGATAGATAAACATCTCTATATGGATGACTTTCTTGCTAGTATGGAAACTGAATCACGTATTGTAATGCTATACCACAAGATCAAGAATTTAATGGCTCTAATGAAATTGCCTATGGAAAAATGGGCTACAAACTCTTTGAAACTCAAAGATGTACTACAAACACATGAAGAATCTCACAAAACGGAAACAACTGTCTTAGGTATTGGCTGGAATACAACTTCTGATACTTTGAAGCATGCATTCAAGACTTCCCTCTGTGTTTCTACAGACAAACCACTTACAAAGAGATGGTTACTCCGCTGCATTGCTAGTTTTTATGATCCCTTAGGCCTTTTTTCACCGTTTACTATTCTTGGGAAAATCTTATTCCAAGATACATGGATTCTTGGAATCAAGTGGGATGAATTACTACCTGCTAATTTATCAACTTTATGGTATGCAGCTGTGAAAGAACTTGATGACATTTGCTCCCTTCAAATTCCTCGATGCATAGGCATTTCATCACATGTTCCTTTTCCTTTTGCTATTCATGTGTTTTGCGACGCATCTGAAAGTGTCTATGGTTCAGTTCTGTACATTGTTACCTTTAAAGGTGACCAATCGAATGTGAATTTAGTGTGTGTAGTCGCAACAAACTAGCTCCTATAAAGAAAGTTACCTTACCTCGTTTGGAGCTCTTGGCCGGCCTGATGGGAGCACGATTGTTGCAATATTTCTGTGCTGAAACAAACATCTGTTCGTCAAATGCAACATTGTGGAGTGATTCTCAAGTTGTCTTAGGGTGGATACGCAGTGACCCCAACAAATGGAAAACTTTTGTTAGCAACAGAGTAACAGAAATTATTTCCTGTACCAATCCTTCACAATGGAGACACTGCCCTGACAAAGACAATTCAGCTGACAAACTTTCTCGAGGTGTTTCACCATCAACACTAAAAAACCTGGAAATTTGGTGGAACGGCCCTCCATGGTTAGTCAAATCTCTAGAATATTGGCCTCATTCTGATACTAAGACTTGCCTTCCATGTAGAGTACTGAAACAAAAGAGAAGTGAACAGATAGAAGCTCCATTACCAGCTGAGCGAATTCAAAGTCATCTCCTTTCGAAACTACCGGAATTGATTTTGCTGGACCACTCTACGTAAAAAATAATAACTCCGTTACAAAAGCTTACATTATCATCTTCACATGTGCTACAACTCGAGCTATCCACTTAGAATTAGTTTCCGATCTGCGTACTGACGTCTTCCTACTTGCATTACAACGTTTTGTCTCTAGACGTTTCACTTCCTCATACAGTGTACACTGATAATGCCACAACGTTCTGCGCTGCGGACAAAGAGCTGAAATTATTGTGGGATACCAGATCCTCTGCCAAGGCACAACAGTTTTATACCCACCACAACATCAAATGGAAATTCATCGCCCCCGAGCGGCTTGGTGGGGAGGATGGTGAGAAAGAATGATAGGCTCAATTAAGCGATGCCTTCGGAACACATTAGATAGGGCTCTTTTGGATGACACTAGTTTGATTACTGTATTATGTGATATTGAAGCCGCTCTTAACAGTTCACCGATTGTCCACAAATACGGAATAAAAGATGACTCTGAGGAAGCTTTAACACCCTCGCACTTCCTCATAGGAAAGAAATTAACTACTATTCCTTCCAGCCTCACAAATCCTGAAACAAATTTAAATCATATGTGGAAGAATGCCATCATTTGATGGACTCCTTTTGGAAAAGATGGCAAAAGGAATATCTGATAGACTTGCTTACATTTCATCAAGTGCAGAATCCATCTGAAACTAATTAAATCCGGAAAGGGGACATTGTCCTACTACAAGAAGATGTTTAGACCTCGCCACACCTGGAAAAGGCCCGTGTTGAGGAGCTAATCCTTGGCCGCGACAAAAAAGTCCGTACTTATGTTCTGCGCACCAATGGACATACCATTACCCGACCTGTGCAGCTGGTCATCCCTCTGGAGGTTGACCAGGCTGGGGAGGATCTTGCGCAATGCCAGCGAACTATTAAAAATAACATTACCCCTTTTTGTGAATGTCATCACTTACGTTTTTGTATTTAGAAATATTTTCTGCTTGTTCTATACTTCATGTTTATGTTAGGAAATAAATAAGTATAAAATACTATCTCCTAATAGTATTGCATGAAACCGCGATACCACCTTTTCGGATATGTGAAATGTTTTGAATTTTTACACTAACTTTGGAAACTTGATTGTATTTTCCTAAATTATCTTCTAATCAACGATTCATCATTTGAGCCTTTGGGATAATAAGAAGTGTTTGTGGCTGTCTTTTAGTTGGAGCTTTATTTATTGACTACTTCTGCATATGATCCGGATCCTTCATTTTTTATCTCATCATGAGATATTAGAGACATACATGCGTTACTGATATTTTGACAATAAATATCACAACTGAATAATAATAAATGACAAATAATGGCAATAAATATCAGAATAAAGAAACTGATATTTATTGTCAAAATATCAGGTTCTTTATTTGGTGGTATAATCTGCATGTCGTTGTAAACTATGGGTAGAAAATTGTTTGCATCCTGGATATAATTTTGTTGCAGAAGTATTCTTTGATTATGTGAAGATATGTCATGCAAATTGTTTTCGCTTCCATAGTTGGAGCTGATTGGTGATAGAGCTGCGTCGTCATAGAATTTTCTTGTTTGACAGCATAGGTGAAGTTGCTGAATCCATATATATATATATATCTTAGAATTAATATGATGACTAATATCATTAGAATGTTTTATTTCATGATCTTCATACGAGGGTGAAGACGAATGTGGGTTTTTGTATCTTTTATAAAATCAATCAAATATTTGATTTTTAGATATAAATTCTTAGATACCTCATAAGCGTTTTGGATTTTTTGATCCATATTAGCAGTATTATTAATTGTGCTTTGTGAATTAGTATCAGTATTGCAAATCCTTGAATGATTAAAACGTTGAAGAAAAGCCGTTGGTTCCGTTGAATGATTGATATCAAGTGATGTTAAAGTTGATGATCTAGAGTTTTTGCATTATATATTGAAGATAATGTAAATATTATTTATTTTATTTCTTTAAGTACTTTAAGAGCTTAATTGAAAAATATTTATTTACTTTTTATGTATTTATTTATTCAATAAAACTCTCCTATATATATATCTACTTTATATTAATACATATTAAATAAATAGTTGATATTAAATACCAAAGTTTCAATTGTAAAAATATAAGGATTAAGGATGTTTAAATTATTATTTATTTTAATGTTTATGTTATATTAAATTACATGAGAAAAGTAGAGTTGTCTATATCCTTGTTATATTTTAGTATTATAAGAAATATAACATGAATATTTTAATAAATTTTTTTCAATATGTTTAATGGAATTTTTGCAAGCATTATTTATTGCTGTATTAAAACTGATATATCAACAATGGTTTTCTTTGAATAAAAAAAATAAATAAATATTAATAAAAATCCAATATTTTAGTCAATATTTTATAAAATGTCACATATATTTATATAAAATTTATATATTCTGAAAGAGAAAAATTTTCTCTAGCTGACGGTATAGCTTTTGGGTAAAAGCGCAGAATAGGCTGCATCAACAAAGTTCAGAAGGCGGAGCTGTGTGACGTCCATAAATGGGTGGGACTAAGCTAGTGACGTCACAATGTAGTCTCGCATTTACACTAGGTGTACTTTCTATTTTCTGTTAAAAATAACAATAATAAATTGTTTATTATTGTAAATTAATATCAAATTCTTTATTTTTAATTTACATTTATAACATTTAAGCTTAGGCGTTACTGATAATAAATTTCTTATATTTAAAATTACCATGATACAGTGACGGAATTCTACCAATTATTAAAACGATAAACAACGTCGCAGTCTCTAATACTTGTAGAGCTTCAATGTTTTCAAAGATTTTTATTAAAACATTTGTGCAAATAAAAAAAAGATTTTTTAAATGTAAATTCATATTGCGGAACATTTCAATTTTATCATTTTTACAAATTACCTTCTTGCTACGTAACGACATAATTCCTTACATACCAATAATTAGAAAATTTTTATTATTTTCTAAAAATTTTAAACTTTACATTAATATAAAAGAAGAATTTTTTTTATTGCCTATGAACATCATTACACAGCTTTCATATCACTTTCTAAAATTCCTAAATCACGCCATATTCTATGTAGGCATACTAGAATTCTACGCATTAATAAATAGAAAAATCTAATTTCTCAGAATGAAAGAAAATAATATAATAAAATAAATACTACAAACTTGGAACACTAAGCAATGCTTCACATACGCACACACACACACATATTATCAATGAACTCATATTATCAAGTGCAATTGCGATACCAAACACTACGTATTAAAAGATGAGGTAAATGTTACTTAAAGGGTTAAAGTTTACAATTTTGCTACTGTTGAGTAGATCGTCGGGCTATCGATATGCATCGTAAGTCGGAAATCGTTATAAACATATCAAAACCGAAAAACATCAAAGAATTCCACAAACTCGGTGTCCATGTGCAAAGAAAAATCAGAGAATTGCTCAAACTCGGCATTGCGCACCACATTGACATTGCTCATGTGCACATCGATCTATTTTCACTTAAAAAAACATCCCAGAATTGTACAAACTCCGCATAGCGCACAACCTCGGCATTGCGCACCACATTCACTTTGTCCATGTGCACATCGATCTATTTTCACTTAAAGAACATCACAGAGTTACACAAACTCGGCATCGCGCACAACCTCGGCATTGCGCACCACATTTTGCTTTGACCATGTGCACATCGATCTATTCTCACTTAAAAAAACACAGAATTGCACAAATTCGGCATCGCGCACTACCTCGGCATTGTGCACCACATTGGCTTTGCCCATGTGTACATTGATCTAGTTTCACTTAAAGAAACATCACACAGTTACACAAACTCGGAATCGCGCACAACCTCGGCATTGCGCACCATATTGGCTTTGCCCATGTGCACATCGATCTATTTTCACTTAAAAAAACATCCCAGAATTGCACAAACTCGGCATCGCGCACAACCTCGGCTATGCCACCACATTGGCTTTGCCCATGTACACATCTATCTGTTTTCACTTAATAAACATCAGTGAATTGCACAAACTCGGCATTGCGCACCACATTGGCTTTGCCCATGTGCACATCGATCTATTTTTACTTAAAAAAAATCAGACATTGAATAAATTGTCCATTACTTATATACTCAGAAATCTGCTTTCATTTAAAGAAATCAAAAAATTGCAGAAACTCGCGCTAACCAACTCCATTGATTCGAGTTGCAAAAACATGTGTCCAGAAAATTGATACAAATTAAAAATAAAGCTGCCAGAATAAAGCAACTACCGAACATCCAAACTGCCGTATTAGAAAAGCACCCAATATTTTACTTATGTCAATATTAATAAATGAAACTTACCTTCAGTCCTCTCCTTTTGCAGAATATATGGCTGTGATCTCACTGAGAAATATACGCATCAATTGGCTGGCGGCGAATTTCTTGTGTTTCCTTCTCCAAATGTATTCTGCAAGATAGGAATCAAACTGTCCT